ACTCCTTGGAGAGATCAATCATGGGAGAATAGACGGACTGTGTATGCACGGGGAGACAACTCAGGGGCAGGAGTGAATGGGAAGGAAGGACACAGGGAATAGATGGCTATGGGGAGGAAGTGGGAGGAGAGTTGTTGCATTGTGGGAAATTGCAGTCAATGTCATGAAACAAAGTGTACACGAACTGCCGTATGGAAGATGAATTTGCTCTGTAACCAACCAACCAACCCACTGCCATCAAGTCTATCTGACTCATAGTGAGCCCTCCTTGGGTTTCTGAGACAGTATCTCTACAGAACTAGACTGCCCTGTCTTCCTTCTGAGGAGTGGCTGGTGGGTTCGAACCACCAGCCTTCTGGTTAGCAGTCAAATGTCTCAGGCACTATGCCACTTTCACCTAAATTACACACACACACACACAAAGTCCCTCATGATTCTGGAACACATCCCACCATACTGATTTTTGGGAGTCAGAGCCAATATGCATCATTTATAACTTGCACTATCTCACTCTAAGGACATAATGTGCAATCATGATAAATTCTGGCTTCATTTGGTTCTTGGTTTTTGAAAGGCATTTGTTGGGTTTCTCACCACTTTGAAATCTCTGGCTTGGAATATGGTGAATCCTTGGATGGTAGCCATCCCTGGATCCACATTTGTTCCTTTTCTCTCTTTTGTACGTCCTGTCATGTACCATTAGTGGGCACTTATGGTCGAAGGCTCTCAACATTATCTCCACATTTCCCTCCTGTCCGATCTGGTATCTGGAGATGGGTGGCCTAGGGCTTGGCATTCCCACAATCACTCCCATCAGTGTGAACTCTCTGAGGGTGACTGGGGAATACTGTGTGTGAAGGCTTGGGCATTAATGTTTGTTGTTTCTCACCAATGTCACTGAGTCAGGTCCAGTAGAGAACGAACTATACATGGAGTAAGGCTGTCCCACACCCCCAACACTTGCAGGGCAGGTCTACCCAGTATGAGTTCTCTGGTGCTTGGTAAGGGAGAGGCTGTGTGTGAAGGCTTGGGTATAAGTATTTGTCTTGTTTCTTGCCAATGTCACTGAGTCAGGTCCAGTAGGGGATGAACCATGTATGGCTTAAGGCTGTCCCACATCCCCAGCACTTGCAGGGTGGGTTTACCCAGTATGAGTTCTCTGGTGCTTGGTTAGGGAGGAGCTGTGTGTGAAGGCTTTCCCACAGTCACCGCATTCATACGGCTTCTCTCCTGTGTGAATTCTCCGGTGCTGAGTAAGGTGGGTGCTTTGCCGGAAGGATTTTCCACAATCCTGACATTCATAGGGCTTTTCCCCGGTGTGTGTCCTTTCATGCTGGCTGAGCGATGAGCTGTGACTGAAGGATTTTCCACACTCATTGCATCCATAGGGCTTTTCCTTGGTGTGAATCCTCAGGTGTTCTATGAGAAGGGAGCTCTGGCTGAAGGCTCTGCCACACTCATTACATTCATAGGGCTTCTCTCCTGTGTGGATCCTCTGATGCTGGATGAGGGGGGCGAGCTGGCTGAAGGCTCTACCACATTCATTACATTTGTAGGGCTTCTCCCCAGTGTGGATCCGCTGATGTTTAGATAGGGATGAGCTATGGCTGAAGGCCTTGCCACAATCATTACACTCGTAGGGTTTCTCCCCAGTGTGGATTCTCTGGTGCTGAGTGAGGTGTGTGCTCTGCCGGAAAGCCTTGCCACACTGGCTGCATTCGTAGGGCTTCTCTCCCGTGTGTGTCCTTTCATGCTGGCTAAGCGATGAGCTGTGACTGAAGGTTTTCCCACACTCATTGCATCCATAGGGCCTTTCTCCTGTGTGGATCCTCCGATGCTCGGTCAGGAGGGTGCTCTGGCTGAAGGCTTTTCCACACTCATTGCACTCGTAGGGCTTCTCTCCTGTGTGGGTCCTCTGATGCTGAATTAGTGGTGTGATCTGGGTGAAGGCTTTGCCACACTCATGGCACTGGTAGGGCTTCTCCCCGGTGTGGATTCGCTGGTGTTTTGTCAACGATGAGCTGTGACTGAAGGCCTTGCCACACTCTCCACACTGATAGGGCTTCTCCCCAGTGTGGATTCGCAGGTGCTGGGTGAGGTGAATACTTTGCCGGAAGGCTTTCCCACATTCACCGCACTCATAGGGCTTCTCACCTGTGTGAGTACGCTCATGTTGGCTGAAGGAGGACCTAAAACTGAAGGATTTCCCACATTCACTGCACTCATAAGGCTTCTCACCTGTGTGAGTTCTCTGGTGCTGGATCAGCGGGGCGATTTGGTTGAAGGTCCTCCCACAATGATTGCATTTGTAGGGTTTCTCCCCAGTGTGGATCCTCTGGTGTTTGGTAAGGGCTGAGCTGTTTCGGAAGCTTTTTCCACACTCACGACATTCATATGGCCTCTCTCCAGTGTGTGTCCGATGGTGTTCAATGAGTGCTGAGCTGTGACTAAAGGCCTTTCCGCATTCCCGACATTTGTAGGGTTTCTCTTTTGCATAGGCGTTCTGGTGAGCATTTGAGTCTGGTTCCTGTCTGTTTACATGTGTTCCCCATATACAAGGGTCTTGTCTTTCAGGAGTCATTGGTTGGGTTGGGAGGTTATGGCTCAGACTCCGCTGTTCTCCAAACCCATTCCCCTGCTGCTCCCTCATAGGCATGAAGGCTGCCTGCATCACACAGCTGTCTGGGCTGTCATGGCTCCACTGCCTGTGGTCCTTGGTGTCTTCCTCTGGAGGATCATACACCAAACCACAGGATTCTTCCTACCAAGACATCATCAGTTCTTCAGAGATGCCTTGCCACAGACCAGTCTGTTTTATGTACAGTTTCCAAGCCTGAAAGAAACAAACAGTGGAAATGTGCATTAGTGCCTGTTGTGGGGACAAAAAGAATCTGCAGGGGACAAGAGGAGGATGAACAAAGCTGATTTATGTCGGTTCAAGGCACAAGAGGCTCTGGCCCCTTTAAAACATGGCTTTGCAAACCAGGGAAAGAACAAGAGAGGCAGGGAAAACACAGAGACTAACAGAGGGGAGGGGAGTATAAGGGATATGGATGAGTTTGCAAGGAGATCACAGATAAAGTGGCTGAGGGGATAGAGAGCATTCTATCCTTCCACCCTTGGAAGGAGCAGAGTGACAGTCATGCCCTGGCTAAACCAACCTTCACAAGGCCAGGTGGTGACAGAGGAAAAGCTGCCATCAGGGAAGGACCGCCCAGCCCAGCCCTCTCATCACCAAAAGCTGGTCCTTCTTGGAGGTATATCACTCTTCTGCCCTCAGACCCCAGATGTAAAGACACCCATCAGTTCTTCCAAACCTGGAATTAGCTGAAGCATTGTCCATCAGAAGGATGGAGAAATGACCTGTGGTGTAGTTTGATCTGGTTTACTTTCTGTCTACCCCACTAATTGGGAACACCCCTGAGGGGGGGGGGCTTCTGTACACATTAGGTGACACTCCACCCCACCCACAGCAGAAACTCAAGGATATGTGACTGAACAATGAATAAATGTGTTCTTTCCCAGCAGGTATGCCCTTTCCCCTGGTACCCAGCCTGCCCCAAGGAAGCCATGGCCTCAGTGCAGGATGTCCCCACTCTACTCCAGATTGGCCCCCGGGTGGGATGTGGGTGCTTTCCTGGCACTATATTATACACCAATGAAAACCTTAAAAAACTAAAAGGTAATGCTAGGTGTGGCAGGCAGGTAAACAGCTCCCTCAGAGACACCCAAGTCTTAACCCCTGGAAATGTGACTATGACAAGCAGGAATTTAGGTTCTTACTCAGGTGACATCAAGGCAGGGAGATTGCTGTGGGTTATCCAGGTGGCATAATCCAATGTAAACACAAGGGTCCTGAAATGTGGAAGACGGTGGCAGGAGAGGCAGGCTGATATGAGAAAGACTTGAGTGGCCACTGCTGACTCTAAAGATGGAGAAGGGGGCCCCAAGGCAAGGAATATGGGTGACTGCTAGAAACTGGAGATAGAGAAGCTTCTCCTCTAGAACCCCCACAAGACCATGCTGCCCTGCCACTTTGATTACAGCCCAGTGAGATCCATTCCAATCTGCTGGCCATCAGAACTGTGAAACGGAATATGCATTGTTTAGGCCCCAAACCTTGTGGTAATCTGTCACGGCAGCAGTTTTGTTCTTGCTGTTATTAGTCAAGTCACTTCTGATTCACAGCACCTTCATGTGACAAGAGGAAAACTGCTACCCCATAGGGTTTCCTAGGCTGTAATCTGTAGGGGAGCAGACCACCAAGTCTTCCTCCCCTGGAGCTGCTGGGTGGGTCCAAACCACCAATCTGTCGGGTAGCAGCCAAACACTTAACTGTTGAGCTACGAGGCTCTTTACAGCAGCAACAGGGAACTAACAAACTGGGGAAGGGCTGGAGAACCAGAGATGGGGGCTATGCTGCTGTGACACCCCCATCCTCAGTGGTTGTCTCTCTTCAGCCTTGGTGATGGCATTGTGGGCTATGGCTCATTCAGTGCCAGGGCCAGCAGGAAATTGCCTGCCAGACCTGGCACCTCGATGCCTAGGGTTGCCACCGACAGGGTCCTTTTGTGCCACATGAAGAGCATGGAGCACCACACTGCCTGTGGCCCATGGAGAGCTCGTGCGGCCAGGTGCCTCATAGCCTTCCAGGCTCCCAATTCACATGCGCACACACCTAGGGGAACTCTGGTATCTACTGCCCACAGCTTAGCCTCCTGCTCAAGCCAGGGGATGATGTCCGGCTTGGGGTGCTGATGTTCTGCTCCGTGGAGACCCAAGGAGTGAGCATTTGCATCCTAGGACCCTCCTTCAGTTTCACCCTTGGTCTTCCAGGCTCCTTGGGCTGTAAGTGGCCGCAGGGGCTGGACCTGTTGTGGTAACAGCCCCATGTTCCTTGGGGGACCCCATTCCTTCACTCTTAGTCTACAACTCCATTCCTAGTTCTGATGTGGACGTGTGACCCAGAACCCTACCTTGCCCCCAGTGGCAATGACCTGTGTGGAGGGGACCCAGTGGCCAATCCATGCCAACCCAAGGCTCAATGGGTGCTCTGGACACAGGAGGGGCACCCATCTGGGAATGGAGCCAGGGAGGTGAAGCACTGCAGATCTGGGACCCTCCCAGGAGAGTCTGCAGTTATGGGGCCCAGTGTGTTCCCTGAACCTCATGGTTTTTTGCTTGTGGCATAATCAGGTGGGGTCTGTGACTCACAACCCAAATATCCTGACTAACTGCTGTTTCTTACCCTAATAAAACAGTCAAAACCTCCTGCTGGGCCAAAAGAGTAAAAATCTCACTGAAACTTCAAAGCAACAGGAATTCAGGCTCCTGAAGCCTGAGACACTGGCTGGGTCACTCTTCATAGGCCAAGTTCTCTTCCCACTTTCATCCCCAACAGAACAAGAGTCTATGCCAGGGTCACACTGTCAGGGAATGGTCACATCCTTACCCATGAAGACCAGGAGTCCAAAGGTCTCCAACATCATGTCACAGTACAGGGTCCTCTGGGCAGCCTCCAGCAGCCCCCACTCCTGGGTGATGCCCACAGCCATATGCTCAAAAGTCACCTGCTCCTGAAACGTCACACATGAGGGTCCTCGAACCTGGCCCTGGCCACTGGTGGGGACAGGTGGTGAATAAGAGCACCAGCCAGAATAGACAGGAGAGAGTTCCTGTGGGTCTGAGGAGATAGGCCAAGTTTTCCTGTACTTGGTAGGTGAAGCCTGCCTCCCAGCAACGTGGTTGGAGAAAAGTCCAACCAGAAAGTAAAAAATGGCATCAAGGAGCCAACAATACAGAACAGACCATCAAAGGTGTGCTGGGTTTTTCAGAAGCATCAAGGAGCCAATGATACGGAGCAGACAATCAAAGGTGTGCTGGGTTACTCAGAAGCATAAAAAAAAAAAAAAAAAAAACCAACAACAACAAACAAACTCACTGCCATTGAGTGGTTTCCAACTCACAGCGACCCCTCCTTGGGTTTCCAAGGTGGCATCACTATGGAAGTAGATTGCCCAATCTTCCTTCCGAGGAGTGGCTGGTGGGTTTGAACCACCAGCCTTCTGGTCAGCAGTCAAATGCCTTAGGCACTACGGCACCAAAGCTCCCCGGAAGCATCAAGGAACCAGTGATACAGGGTGGACAGTCAAAGGCGTGCTGGGTTACTCAGAAGCATTAAGGAGCTAATGATATGGAGCAGATGGTCAAGGGCGAGCTGGGTTACTCAGAAGCATAAAAAAAAAACCCACCAAACTCACTGCCACTGAATGGTTTCCAACTCATAACGACTCCTCCTTGGGTTTCCAAGGTGGTATCACTACGGAAGTTGTATGCCCAATCTTCCTTTTGAGGAGTGGCTGGTGGGTTTGAACCACCAGCCTTCTGGTCAGCAGTCAAATGCCTCAGGCACTACACTACCAGCGCTCCCCAGAAGCATCAAGGAGCCAACGATACGGGGCGGACGGCCAAAGGCGTGCTGGGTTACTCAGAAGCATCAAGAAGCTGATGATACAGAGCACATGGTCAAAGGCGGGCTGGGTTACTCAGAAGTGTGCTTTCCTAGAGGTGCCTTTGGAATGGGCATTGGGGGATGTGGGGAAGGGAATATCTGGAAAACTATCAGAGTGGATCCCTGCCTTACCCCTGTGGCCCGATAAAATCCAGATAGGTCCAAGATGGAAGCATCTCAATGTTTCATATGAATGACACAAAGCCCTTGAAAAACCTCAAGAGATTAAAAACAAATCTTGGGGTGGAGATGACCTTTCTACTCACAACACAAAGGCCAGGAGCCCCCACGCCCATGTTTGGGGTTGAGGTTTCTACTCACAACACAGAGGCCAGGAGCCCCCCACGTCCATGTTTGGGGTTGATGTTTCTACTCACGACACAAAGGCCAGGAGCCCCCCACGCCCATGTTTGGGGTTGAGGTTTCTACTCACGACACAAAGGCCAGGAGCTCCCATACCCGTGTTGCTGCTGTTGGTGTTGGCTGACCGCAGTTTCCAACTCATAATGACCCCCTATGACAGAGAAGAACTGCCCCACAGGGTTTGCTAGGGTGTAATTCTTATGGGATCAAATTACCAGGTCTTTCTCCTGTGGAGCTGCTGGGTGGGTCTGAACCACTGACCTTTCGGCTAGCAGCTGAGTACTTAACTGCTATGTCATCAGACCTCCTTCCCCACTTGTACATCAGTTTTCTATTCTTCTGTAACATGTTACCACAAACTTGGAGCTTAAAACAACATGCATTTCCTATCTCCTAGCTCTGTGGGGCAGAAGTGCAGCAGGGTGTGCTCGGGTTCTCTGGAGTCCCTAAGGAAGGAATCTGCTTCCAAGCTCATTCTTGTCACCAGAATTCACTTCCTTGAGGTCCCATTTCCCTCTGGGCATCTTTCAGGCCATTATTTGGCCTCACTCAAAGAAACTCATTGCCAGTCAAGTCAAATGCGACTCACAGCAACCCCTCCTTGGGTTTCCAAGGCAGTTATCTCTATGGAAGTAGATTGTTCACCACACACAAATACACCATTCCTTCTCTTCCTGGCTCTTAGGGTTTTTCCATATTTATGAGGCCCTCTGTACTACATCAATACCCTTTAACATGTCCACTTGATTCTCCCTGCCCTCCACCTCCCAGAGAACCTTGTGCCCTGCCACATCACCAACACGTAACAGGGACAAGCTGGTTACAGCCTGATGCCCATCAGTGGATGAGCAACCAGAAAGTCACATTCACCCATACCATGGACAACTTTGCTGCCAAGCACAAGATGAGATAAGGAGCCCTGGTGGTGCAATGGTTAAGTGCTCGGCTGCTAACCGATGGGTCAGCAGTTCAAAGCCACCAGCTGCTCCACAGAAGAAAAGAGCTGGCAACCTGCTCCCATAAAGACTGCAGCCTAGGAAGCCCTCTGGAGCAGTTCCACTCTGTCCTATGGGGTCGCCATGAGTCAGACTTAACTCTACGGCCCATAACAGCAGCAAGATGAGGCAGAATGATACACAGCCAGTGACTGACCTTCTGAAGTCCTGGTCACAAAGCAACCCAGTTGTGGGACATTCACAGAATAATAGGAGTATGTATGTAAAACAAGACAAAGCGCTATTCCTATAGGTTAGGAAAAAAGTTCATAAACCCAGGGGAAAATGAGGCATAGGGAAGTGACAACATGGAGGTGTGGAGGGAGGCCTGGGAGGAGGACGTTCTAAGAGCTGTGTGACGTCTTCCCAAGGACAATGCTGCAATGCATGCTGATGGCCTCAAAAAATGCATTAATAAAGAAATGCGTAAATAAGCTCATCAGTCTTGGGGCAAGTGGTGGCGATACAAGAAGTCCCTGTGGAAGACAACAGGTATTCTGACACAACCTAAGGACTTTTCATTCCTGTATATTAAAAAAAAATTCAACTCAAACACAGATAGATGGCGCCCGTCCCAAGCTGGGCAAGAGGCTGAGAGGACACTGTCTCGCTTAATCCTCAAAACAATGTCCCATGACGGGGCTCTCTATGCCTCCAGCAGTTGGATGAAATGAGTTGCCCTAAATCACCCGAGGAAAGGGCTAGGCCAGAATTCATACTTGGGCCATCTGGGCCCAGCGTCAAACTACTGGCCACATGACCCTGCTACCCAAGCCCCCCCAAAAAATATAAGTGAGAACAGGCCACAGGGGTCAGGGTGGAGGTTCTGGGCCCAGGGGGCAGCTCAGCTCAGACCTCCTGTCCGGTTTCTCCCTGGAAAGACAGGGATCTGAGATGCCATAGCTGGGGTGCCTGGGCTGTGGGGAGACAGTGACCGGCAGGGGCCCCAGGGAGCTGGGGAGGTCTGGGAACCTCCCGCAGCTCAGCCAGAGCGTCACAAGGACCCACACACCATTCCTGTAAACCTGTTGCTGGGTGCCGTGGAGTTGATTCTGACTCACGGTCACCCCACGTGGCAGAGGCGCACTGACCCGTGGGGTTTCCTAGGCTGCAGTCTGTAGGGTTGCTGTGCATCAGTATCCACATGACTGCCAGCCTGATGACCAGGTCTTTCTCCCCTGCAGTCACTGGGTGGGTTCGAACCACCGACATGTGGTTGGTTACTAGCTGGGCTCTCACCTGTTGCATCATCAGGGCTCCTTCGTGTAAATCTACATCCCACACAGATCATGACTTGATTAAAAAAAGAGGTGGGCTGGGGAAAACAAACTAAAGATCCAGTAGATGGTGGCGGGCACGAGGGGAATGGAAGGGGGGCTGACTGGCCAGCAGGACCCCGGGACTGGCGCCACAGTGTGTTCATCTCAGTCAGTACTGGGTGGAAACAGCGCACGGTTAAAGGCTAGGAGGGATCCTGAGGGGTGGGGTCCATCACTGGTATTCCCCACTGGCACACTTTCACTGATTTCTGCTCCTTCCATAACTAGATTGGGACCCTGAGATTTCCTTCAAGGCTCAAGAGGATCGGGGTTGGGCACAGATTTCACCCTGGGAGATCTCCATTTTCACGTAAACCCAGTGGGAAGGATGGCTGGGGGGCAGCCTGGGCGGGGCCGCACTGAGGGGCGGAGCCAGGCCGAGGGGGCCAGGTTGAGGTGGTGTGGGGTGGATGCAGGGTCAGGTCGATGATCTTACCCCCAACATGAGATATCACAGTCCCCATATGAGCGGAGCTAAGACACAAAGGGTCCCGGATCCAGGCCTTCGGGGCAGAACCTGCCTCCTCTGGAGTTCCTCCGATGGGGAGAGTGGGGACCACAGGCAGCAGGTGTGAAGTACGCGGCATTTGGGGGCTGCACAGTCCAGACCCACCCAGCCCTGGACCCAGATGGTCAGATTTGGAGCCCCAACACCCCGGCGCACCTCTCAGTCGTCCAGTGCCTCAGTTTCCTCACTGTAAGATGAGTGGCCCCTCAGAAGGCTGCTGTGAGGGAATTGTCATTCATGTGAGGTGTGTGCCCAGGGCCCCGCACCACGGCAGGGGTCCTCCGGGACGTTCACTTTCTTTAGCCCACTCTTCTCGACTGCTCCACGTTTTCTACACTGCTCAGGTCTCGCCCAGCAGTTACTGACCCAGTCCTACCAAGCATGCAGTTGGCCTTTACCTACTAACTAAGGTCAGCGGTTGGAAACCACCCAGCAGTGCCGCAGAAGAAAGGCCTGCCAATCTGCTTCAGTCGAGGTTACAGCCTAGAAAACACTTATGCTTTGTACCAGTGGGGCCGCCATGAGTCAGAATCGCCTCCAAGATTACAGCTTAAAAGACACTATACTTTGTAACAGTGGGGTCGCCGTGAGTCAGAATTGCCTCCAAGGCAATGGGCTTGGTTTGACTATTTTACAGAGCACAGGTGGTGGTCCGACCCTGCAAATGCCAGAGGAACCAGAGACACACATGCCTGGCCTGGTGGTGCTTGTTTTCTGGCTGTGGGGACAGTAGGAGAGATGCTGCACATGGCCACACAGACCCAGGAAGACCTACCCAGGCAATGGGGCCCACACTCGCAGAGGTCCTGAGGTGGAAGGAAGCAGCCCAGGAACAGGAAGAGTGTGGCCAGAGCAGAGAGGGCGGGGCCAGGGC